ACTTGTAATTTTTTAGATTACTGTGTGAGTAGATCCCTGTGTGATAGTAGTGGGTGTTAAACTTGTATTACTATTAGGCAGTGGGCCAGATTTGTCCACATCCCTTACGAAAAAGAACTATAGTAATCCTATAAGACCCTATAAGATTTCTATAGTAGTGTATAATATTTCTGTGATGTTCTGTAATACCTCTAAAGTTATAGTACTTCTATATTATGTCCCAAAATACTATCGTATTCCTATAGGATTACTATATTTTGTCCTAAAATATTACAAGATTCCTATAGTTGTTTTTCATAAGGGATGTCTCATTCACATTAGCGTTATCAGCTGAAGGCTCGCTTGATATAGAGATAGACAGTAAAAGAAAGCTTGATAGGCCAATCGCTATAATGAAGCGAGTCTACACTCAAGCACACTGCAGTCTGTGATTTAGGGATAACTGTCAGCACAGTGTTATAGTTATGTCTGTTCTGTATCTGTTTCCCTGAGTTTTCCCCGTCATTGTGTATTTGGTTCAGTCCTGTTCCCAGTTTTCCCGCTCCTTGTTAGTGTTCAGTTTATTCACCTGTGTTCTGATTTGCCCCAGCTGTGTCTTGTTCCCTCATCCCGTCTGTGTATTTAATCCTGTCTGCTCTTTTGTTCTTGGTCAGTTATTGAATGAATGTATGTTTGAATGTGCGTACCACGAGTATCTTGTCTGTTCTGAGTCTGTATATAATTAAAGTCTACTGCTGCATTTAGATCCGACTTCCGCCTTTGCTTCCACGCAAATCGTAACACACAGTCCCTCTGTAACTTCGTACTACTGATCACCGATTTACAAAAGGATTCATAGTTTGGAGTGAAGCATACGTACAATTGGTAAGTGACAAGGTTTTATGGAGTTATAGTATGCAACATACGAAAGTTGATTGAGTTATAGGCTAATGTTACCGCGATGTCTTACCTGGAGATTCAACCAGATAACAGAATATGTCTGGAAACGACATATGGTTGGGTCATTGACCTAGTTTTTAATTAAATAAGGGCAATCATAACCTATTGCAGTTAATTTTGCAATGTACCGTTGCCGGTCGGCAGGCGTCAATGACTCGCAATATGACATTTTTGTCATTCAAATACACACGATGGTCGCAGAGTTTTCCCCCACGCCGACTCCGCCCCCAACTATGACTAGATGCCGACTGTATGTATAGCAACCTAATAAGGCGGCAGCAATTTTTTCACAAGCAAACAGCAATTATATATTCTTCAAAAACAAGTTTAGTTATAGATAGTTACAGGAAATACTTTGTCCTACAAGTTTGTTTTAGTTGTAACAAAAATGTCTTTCACTTCAACACTTTTCTTCCTCCTGAACCAGACTGAAAGAGGAATGCTTCTCCTTTTTGATTGATAATTCAGTCGCGAGCAAAAAGCTTGAAGATGCTGGAATGTGTTTATTCATTGATCACAGAGGAAGTTGTAGCCTACACATTCTGATCTTCTGACCTGTTAAGACAAGGTCAGTCATCCAATATAAAGTACTTTTATAAAGATTACACGTTAGATTGGTTTGTCAATGTTGTATTTTTAAAAGTTAGCAGAAAATGGCACAACAACCATGAAAGTCCTCTGGAAAATTATATTTAAAGAGCATTAGGCGCTTTACAAGCTTCTCTTCAATATGACCCTGCAGTCACATTCTCAAGCAATGTGTTATTTAACACAGCCAATTATGTCTTTTTCACTTCCCCATTGTGGTTTTGCACTTCCTCTGTCCTTACCATGTGACTCTCAATCTAATTCTGGAAAACTCCATTTTAAACAGTGATAAAATTGCACGTACACACACGAGTTGCTCATCCAGTTACATTTGTATCTATGCATTTTCATGGTCATCGAGCAACATGTGACTGCATTGTCATTGCTGATCTGACCGCCCGGCAATTGTGATTTTGGATCAGTCACAGTGAATCTATTTTTAGGGGATTTAATTCAAGGCAAAGGTTCTGACACACTTACCTAGTAGAGCGTATACATGTACACCCACACGCACACTCACACAAAAACAAATACACAGCAACTTTAGATGAGAAAATGGCTGCTGGGTGCTAATCTGCGATTAGTGAGGGTCATGGTTTTGAAGTTAATACCCTGGTTTTCAAAGGATTTCTCTAGCTCATGCGAGCCAAAGTCTCCAGAGAGTATCCTAAACAGCCTCTACTCTACAGCCAGACAAACATCCCAAACACCTGGCATCACCACCGGCATCTAAAATTAAAACTGAAGAATAAAAGTCAATCAAAGAGACCGTATTCTACACGGTTGCATTTAATGTTTTTCCCTGAAGACCATTTATAATGTTACTCAAAGTCTCTTGCACCAAAACAATAAAAATTAAACTCTCTCGCTAACCCTTAAGGTCCATTCACACCAAGAATATTAAAGGGATACTTCACCTCTAGAAAGATGAATGTGTATTTAAAATGGATCATTTATGTAAAAGAAATGTGAAATTATTTTTGAATTTGGAGCTTTCTAGACTGAGAAAAGCCAGAAAATGTATTTTTGGCTTATGTGGATGAAAGAAAACAACTCCCAGAATGCACTTGCTTCACTGCCCTAGGAGGCCACGCCTACCGGTAACAGAGCGCAGTAGTTAAACAACAAATCTAGGCTACTAGTGAGTCTCCGTGATGAATCTGCCCGAAAATGTGTTTTGAGATCGCCCAAAATGTCCGGGATTCGGCTTTTGCGTTCTACAGTCGCCATTCATCATGTTTACTGTGGCGAGCAGGACGACGCTAGGGCCGCGGGAGAACTGCGCGAGGCCGGTGGCGTGATTAGATTACCAATGAGCGACACCTGTCAGACGCACCGGTCTCGTATCTCTCACGGAGGAGCGGGAATTTTCTTAGCAATGTTAAAACGCACATCAACCGATCACTTGTTTAGCGTTCATGTAAACACTACATTCAGATTCACCAATCGGAATGAATTCAGTTAGATTGAAACAAAAGGTGTGCATGTAAACAATGAATGGCGACTGCAGAAAGCAAAAGCTGAATCCCGGACATCGACGGCCGGACATGTCCGGGAAAAAGAGGATGGTAACCCCTACTACTCAGCTTTCTCCACAGTAAAGATGGCTGACACTATGTGTACATTCTGTGAGTGAGATCCCACCCTCTATGGGCGGGTTGGGAACATGCGGGACAGCCCCTACTACTGACTGTAGTCTTTAGCCTCTGGCCAAAAAATCGTCCGATGACGCAAAATGACGATTTTTGCGTCATCGGAGGATTTTTTCCAGACAAAAAATACATAAATCTCTCGTCTCAGGGGGATATGAGGGTGGAAAGCATGGTAATTCGAAAATACTACAGGTTTTCTACTAATACAAAGCTTAATGCTAAATCCTGAAGTATCCCTTTAACTATAAATGTAACTATATTAAGGCCCCGTCCACACTACTGCGTTTTCGTTTAAAAACGGAGACCTTTTGCTACGTTTGCACCTCCCGTCCACACTAAAACGGCAAAAACGGAGACCCAAAACGGAGAAGTTTAGAAACGCTGCCGACCCGTTTTTCGTTTTGAAACTCCGGAGGGCGTTTTAGTGTAGACGGGTCAAGACGGAGGACTTTAGAAACGATGACGTAGTAGAGGCTCACGCTCGGCTCTATGATTGGGTGTCATCAGTCATGGCGTATATCTTTGCTAGCAGCTGTTGTACAAGTAAATTCTGCATTTTACAACGCTATAACTGCCTACATGCGCCGGAGTCAAGCTATTATTCGAGCGATCTGTGACAATTCCCGTGTGCAGCGGCGGCGTTGACCGTACATGGAGCGTCGGTTTGGGGTTAACCCAGAGCATGGTGGGATAATTTTATCAATGAAGTTGTGTTTACACCGGCACGCGCATGCCCAGTGTTGGTGAATGGTCACGTGATCCGCGTTTTCAGTCGTTTTAATGTGGACGGAGATCAATTCTAATACGCAGCTAAAACGCTGGTGTGGACGGAGATCGTATTCGTTTTAATTCTCCGTTTCTAAACTAAAACGCAGTAGTGTGGATGGGGCCTAAGAGAAAAAATTCATTCTGAAAGTGACGATATTGATTCTCTGTGCCATTATCTTTATAGTTGTGGTGTGGACCCTGTTGCGTTCTCTTTTAGCCAGCAAACACTCCTCTGTTCAGAGTTTTTATTTAAATGTGTAATTCCATGGAGGTTCGAGACTTAACTGCACCATGTCAACCTTTCTTGCTCATTGTGACAACTAACCTCTACCACTTCCACTCCATACACGTTATAGCACACTGATATGATGAGACACGCATGGGCTACTGACGCATGTATGTAATTTCCCACTAAAACCATCCAGTCAGGTCTAAAATATAAGACAAACACTTATAAGACAAAAACACATTGTGGAGGAAGAATTGATGATTGACACATTTAAATTTTGTTAATTTGGAAAAACAATTACAGTGTAACTTTAATATTTTGAAATGTAAATTATTCCTGTGGTGGCAAAGCTACATATTTAAAATGAAAATCTTTTGCAACATTATATATGTCTTTAGACATTTTAGATCAATTTCATATTTCCTTGCTGAAAAAAAAAGCGTGAATGTGTGTATATATATATATATATATATATTTAAAAATTATAAATATATACCTTTGTTTCGTTCATGAGTCTGCCTGTATACTATATCAATATTTAAAAGAGCAATGAAAATCCAGTTTACAAAGACATATTTCATTTATAGAAACATGTATCATTAATGGAAAAATCTGTGGCATTGAAAATGTTGCTTCCTTCCTAATAGCACAGCCGATGAGAAATATGGGAAAACTAATGAGAAAAGTGACCAGAGCACAGGCAAAAAAAGGAGGCCAACTGCTTTAATAATTGAACTCTTCATTAACAAAGCAATTATATTTTTCTTTCAGGCCAATTTGGAAGTGATCTGACATCATTGGCACTGAAATAGCTGTTCTCTTACCGGGTGGGAGTCTGTGGAGTTGGGATCGGCTCCAGGAATTGTCAGATGGAGACTCTGGAGATAATATGTGGTCTGCATCTGCAAGAGAAGACAGAAGCACACATAAACATGCTGGCTGCACTTACATCTCATTCAGCGCTACAGAACAGCCTACAGTACTATGATCCATTTACTGTAGCACTTGAGGAGACACTGTTTCTGAATATTGCTATTGATTTAAACTTGAAATAGGGCAGAGAAAGAAAATAGCAAGTGGCACTATTTCAGCCCTTAAGAGCAGTTTGGTGCTTAATGGGAACATTCTACAATATCGGTTCATGCAGAAAGTCATTAAGCAATTTTTTCTAAAAGTTAGAGACGTTGTCCTTTACTCAAACCTTAATTTAAGGCCCCAAGGACTAACAATGCCGGCTAACCTTTCTAACAGTTGGCAAGCGTCTCGGCAGACAAAACATATGGGATGACGGGGCCTCAAAGATGACCTTTAGCCATAATTGGAGGAAGAGAATCTTGTTTTAACGTGAGATGGTCTACGACACAATGATCCTTGTCCTTACAGACCTACCGCAATTTAACATTACAACAATAGCTGCATTCACAGCAGGAAATTATCCAATGCATCCAAAGAATGGTCAATTTTACGCTGTAAATACATAGCGAAAGATTTTTTTTTTTTATGTCACCACCATCAGATCTTTCGAGATTACTATCTGGAAAGGGATTAGGGTGACCAGACGTCCTGATAAGATTGGGACAGTGTCAATTGTATGAGCCACGTCCCGCATGAGTTACAGTTGGGATGCCTCTTGTCCTGATAATTAGTCTTAGCTATAGTTTCAGTGTTTCCTCTAGGATTTTTTCCAACTGTGGTGGCAGGCCCATTTCCCCAGGGGGAGGGGGCGTGGCCCATGAATGATATTCCCATTGGCCACGCCCCCTTGCCCCAAGGTGTTTAAACCTCCCCTAAGTATTATAACATGAAAGGCTCCAATAAGTGCAGCAAAGCGATTATGCGCATCCTGTGCGCAGAATGATGCACTTGAAGTAACACGAAGTCACAGTGCGCAGCGCTTCGCATTGAAAAGTTCAAAGCACAAAGCGAAGAGAAGAGATTATATATCTATCTATGCTTAGTGTATTCTAGCTATGCAACAGTTTGAGCCTTTTTTTTACAGTTTTAAATTTCAGTTACAGTGCGCATGAAGACCAAATCATAGCGCTCTCTACTCCAGTGCTGTAATCTAACAGACACCCGGGAGAAGGGAATATGATTTAGAAAGCGCAATAATCTCCAGCAAGATAAAGTCATTTTATGGAAACTATAGACCTTTATCTACAAAAAAAGGTATAATAATGGGAACATTGATCTTGAAGAGAGTGTCGTCGTGTAACTGTCGTTACCTGGTCGTTACCGAACGCGACGCGCTGTTTGAATGCTGAATGGAGAATGACTGAGGAGAGATGAGTTTCCATTAACTTTAACTTAACGACTTAAATATTAATTTTTACCGCACATTATGCTATTGAAAGACTTTAGAAGTCTTGGAATGTAGTGGGAAAACTTTATTGTGCTTTACAATGTTGTTTATGCCTTTAGTGGGGCTTAACAAATATCGGACCTCACTGAGAAACTGCAGCCGTGGCGGGATGGTTTTAGGTGTGTGGCGGCCCGCCACCACGGCGGAATGAATGTAGCGGAAACACTGAGTTTAATTGATTAATTCGTAAGAAACCAGCAAAATCATGTGTAACCATCAGTAACAAGAGTGAATGGCTTATGTAGTTCTTTGACCCATTAATACAATAGTAAGCACACAGTAAAACTGTTTTTTTTTTCGCCTTAAAATATTGACCAGTAAAAAACCTTCACATAATTGTGCAAATGGTGGAACAAAGAAATGCTCCATTTCAACAAGTAATTTTATTCCTTAAAACTCATCTCTGATCACCAAAATTACATATTTAAAAGTTTTTTAATGTCTTCAAGCCTTAAAATAGATTGAATATAACTCTACACCCTTGCCTCATTTTGTATACGCGGTTCTATATGCAAAATAGCCGTCTCCACTCACACCAGCTCAGAGATCCAATCGTTGACGATCACACATTGACGTGATTGGTTAAAAGGTAGTTTGTGACATCAGAAACACCAGCGATTTCAAACCACGTTTTTGAGGCTGTCTTTTTTTCACTGCAGTTTTATGGAGAAAATACGCAGAAATGGTGTTGACTTATGATTTGTCTTAAAGTATATATAAAAAAAACACAGACATATAAACACAATTAAAAGCCTGATTTTCACCACAGGGGGACTTCATTTGTGTTACAAAGATGAACGAAAGTCTTACGGGTTTAGAGCAACATGAGGGTGAGTAAATGGTGAAAAAAAAAATCCATTTTTGGGTGATCTAACCTGTTAATGTCCATAAGATCAGACCTTCCGATAATCCAAATGTGCTCTGTGGCTGGAAATTTCACTAAGGTATGGTTGTGAAATGCAGAAATGAAAGAGACAGACCTTGAAAATATTTAAACATGACAATGTGTTGACAAACTGATTTTAAACATCATCAAAAACCCTTTATGAGTGGTTTGACACATAACCTCTGTTTGTTTTTTTCTGTGGTAAGGTGACATTAATTCAGTAGTTCCACGCCCCACATCAGCTGCTGAAGGGACGCTGCTTTAGTAAAGATGTCCCAGTCTTTATTGCTTGTCCTTTCTGCATTGCCTTGAGCAAGACACATATAAAGTTCCTCAAGGAAGCACTTGTCTGCTCAAGGGCTTTATGCCCACTCATCCCATAAAGGCTCCAAATGGCACAAACCCTTAATATATGTCAGAGACACAATCTCTGCTTATAAACATCGATCAACTGTATTTGACACGCCAACGACACTGTTCATCTCCACTATGCATCTCTTTTACCTTGAGACTTCAAGCAAATAAAATACCTGTGCAATTCCCTATTCATCCTCTGTCACAACTACAGTAAATTAAGGTTAAATATACATAGCCTGTATATTTCCCTCTTTTATAAGGACCTATAACTGACAGACTGGGTTGAGAAACCCACTCATAAAAACTTTACCTGGAAATAGACCATCCAGTACGGAATGAGGGCCAGGAAAACAGGAAGTATTTTGACCAGCGCTTTCACTTCCTCCACCTTCTCCTCTGAAAATCGCCCACCGTATGTCACCTTAGCGCCATCCAGTAGAGTCGGCTTGGGCCTGGTGGAAGAACACGGTTTGTAACAACGAATAAAGCAATGATTTGGTCTTGTTCACCAACTTAAAATAATAATAATGTCAGGGTTTTTTGAGAAGCGATTGTTCTTTGATTCAGAGAGAGGGCACGGCACTTGACAGTAACTTATGCCACAGAGACAAGATGAATAGCATCGCCACGTACGAGACAGACAGGAGAGGTGGATCAAAGAGGAAGATGAGGGATAACATTACAGACTAATAGAGTAATCTAAACTGCAGTAGAGGTTCCCATTAAAAAAAAAGGGCATAAATTTACAATCTAACACACTTAAAACAGTATGGACTGTGTAAAGACTAATAGGCACATTCATTTTTAAATGCAAGAATAAATATTTACAATTTCTGAATATGCAACAGCTGACAAATCCATCTTAATTCAAAAAGAAATGGTGCATGCTACCCATTTCATCATTTCTGAAATCCTTGAAAAAGGACATTGAACCGGAATAAAAAGTAGAGCAGGACTATCATTTATTAGGAATTGTTTGGATAAGTCTATTGGTGCCTTCAAGTGATACCGGAAAATTAAAATTAGTGCATTTCTTTGAGCACTAACTGTGGATGAAAATTTATATCGGTCATATTTAAGTTTTAAATGTGAAATGTTCACTGCACTCTTTCGCTTATTTATTTGGAGTGACAGGCATTTGCAACTAATATGCATGTATAGTGGTAAAACAACTCTTTTCTTTATAAGGAGGTGAAAAGAAAATGAATGCTCACAATAAAACCAGTAGTTTGTATCAAGAAAGTTGATTTCATGTGAACTGCCCTTTTCACCCAAAAAAAATCCTAGCCCTCACCTGAGCAGACTGGGTTCCTTTGGCCCGCGTCCACAGAAGGCCGAGGCCAGGATCCGAAACATGTCGCTGAAGGCGCTGCCGTCTGCAGGCTTGTTTATGAAAACCGCTCTGCCCAGAATAAAGATGATGAGGGACACCCCGAGGCACACGGCAGGGATGATGTAGCCAATAGAGAAGCTGATGTTCTGCTGAATATAGGCTACTCCACCCAGGGAGAAGATCGCTCCCAGATTAATGCACCAGTAGAACCAGTTAAAGAACCGCCGTGTTGCCTCCGGACCTCGATCCTTCACCTGTAAGGATATACATCAAAAATGCACATCAATTCACTTTCATTCATTTTCATTTAACGGTTGTATTAATTTTAAGCTCAAAGGAAAAAGTGAGAAACTGACAATCAAATCACTTTTTAGTCCATAATAACAAATTCTATATCCAGTTCAGTGTCAAACAAGGGCAACAATAACATTAACATAATGTCCAGCTGGAAAAACATTTCTTTTTTGACTTGCTTGTGGATACTAAAGTTGCACCGTCAATAACCATATCAACAATCAATTTGCATTCTTCATTTAATTTAATATTTCTTTGCAGTTTACTAAATGCATTTATAAACTTGGGTGAATTTTCTGCTCAAGTGCATGCAACGCTTTTCTGAAGAAATGTCTGCTCACAAAAAGCTCAAAATACATGCAGATGTAGCCATACAATCAGAGACACAATCAATACGTTTAAATGAGATCTATGACCCAATGACACTCAGATGTGGTACAGCCTGCAGTTAATCTCTTTATTGAATCTTAAAATCACATGACGATCATATGACGAGAGTCAACAGACATCAACACTGGCCTAATCCAAGTCATCCCCATTTAAAGACTTGTATAGCTGAATACACCTTGGATTTTTGTTATATCTACATTAGTTAACAAAAAAAGCTTGTCAAATAATCCAATACAAAAGGTAACTGTATAAAAAAAAATCTGTTACGCAGATGAACAAGCCAACAAAGACAGATGTCAGTTTTACTTCCCAAATTTTTTGTTTCATTTTGCGTGTAATGTCTAGTTTGATAGGAGCAGTCTTACTCACTATCATATAGTTTCTAATTATGGTAATCATTTAGTCACTTAGCAGAAGATTTCCTTATAGTTCACTTATGTCAGGAACATCCCCCTCCCCATCCCCACTGTACTGGGCTACTGTACAGTTTCATGTCACTGAGAGGTCATGTAATAGAATGTGTGCTAATGCATCACAAGCTTTACTAGCATGGAAACATGGCTAAAGCACGGAAGGATTCTTTTATTGTACAAATGTTTTTGCATTGTAAGAAATGTTTGTACTTGGTGTGAAACAATCTACATTATATCACTAAAAATCTTCAGCTCTTCCTCATCACTATAATAAATAAAGCTTTCATATACACATTTAGTTTTAAACGAATCTGAGAAACAGACCTTGGTAGTAACCATAGAAGCCACTTCAACAAAAGGCATAATTTCGATCTTGTGGGTTGCAAAATGGCTTGTGTCACAAGGCAAAATCAGACTCAAAGTACCTCAGAAATGTGGGATATTTGCCTTGTCATTTTTAATAAGTGAAGTGAAAGTGACCAAAGGTGTGTCCAAACTTAAGGAAGTCTTACAAAATGTTGCCAAAAAAGTACATTGGCAGTGAAAAACAGAAACATTGTAAACAGTTGCTAAGTGATGAAGCAACCGATTATGTTGGAATCCGAAATTTCCCACTTTACCACTTTTTGGAAATTTTATAAATGTAGGCTATATTAAATTTAGAAGGTTATCGGGGGTTCACGTCACAAAATGTAAATCAGAAACCTTTTTTCAAGAAGAACTTCACATTATTATTATTATTGTCAATTTAGTGTCCTTTTATGACTGCCATATGAGTGGTGTCAAATGGTTAAAAATACAGCTTAAAGACCCAGTAACTGACCCATATTTTGTTCAAGCACCTACAGAATTCTTGCACGTATTGGAGTAAAATTGAACTTGAAAAAAAACCCCAAAATTAAAAAATCTGTAATTTATTCACCCTTATTTCAATCAAAGCCTGTATGTCTTATTACTGTGGAACACAAAATGTGAATTTTATATTAAAAGTGAATGAAGACTAGGACTGTGGAGCTCCAAAAAGCACCTTAAATGTGTAAAATATTATTATATATTAAATCAAATGGACCCATTCTCCATTTCAACTTTACAGCCTCCACTTGCAAAGGAGATTATACGATTATAAGTACATTTTTGTTGCACAAAGCTAGCATATGACCCCAGAAGACTTGGAATATGGTGTACGAGTTATATGGATGATTTTATTATATTTTTGCATCCCTTTTGAAGTTTAAAATGACAAATCTCCAACTTAAATGGACAAGAGCAACCAGCACATTATTCAAAACATCTCCTTTTGTGCTCCAAAAACAAAAAAAATCAAGAAAAACTATTCGAAACAAACTCTAGTAGTGAGTTATTATATCTACAGACAGAACCAGACAGGGTTAACCTGAAGCATCTGAAAGAATGTTATTGAACAAACACCAGCAACCATGTCAAAGGTCTTAATATCACTTAGAGTTTCATAAAAGCCAGACACAGCAGAAAATATTGCTCTGAGAATCAATCCGAGTTTGCGCCCCTGAGACTTGAACCTACTCAAAGTTTAGACAACTCTCCAGTTGTAGTGAAGTCTGTTCATTACCTCAAGGGTTTTCAGTCTTTTAGATGCCACAGACCCCCAAAATATGATCATTCTGTGCCTAAATCTTAAGCTATATATTATTTGTATGAATATAAAGACAAAATTTATACTGTGAAAAATGTATATTATAAATACATGTAAAATATTACTATGAAAATATTTTCTATTGTTACATTATTACTTTTTTCTAATCACTAATTGTGCTGTACTGTACTGTTAGGTGCATTATTAAGAAATACATTTATTTGGTTTTATTTTTATGCAAATTATTTATTTAGTTAGAAAAACTATATTATTTATTATTATTTTAGCACAATTTTTCTCTAAACTTTTCCACAAGCCCCTGGAACCCCCTGGCGTTCTCAGAACCCATTCTGAAAACACTTTACCTGATCTGCCCCGAATGGAGTGATGTTTGACTTCACAGCTCCCACCCCAATGGCCACCAGCACCAGACCACTGAAGATGGCCGGCCCGCAGTACGACGTCCGATTGACGCAGGTCACATTGGCAGGCACGGTCCCATTTTCAGGAAAACATTCTGCAGGCTGCACTGGGAACGCCATCTCTTCTCCACACAGATAATTCCTGGTGTTGTCACTGGCCACTAAGGGGAAAAGCAGCATCCCTAACAGATACAGGACTAAACTTAAGGCTATGGTTACGAACTTGCCAAGGAATGCATCCGCCAGCCAGCCACCAAAGGGCGATATCAAATAAGTGACTCCCATGAAGATCAAGGGGGCCTGGCTGGCCAAAGTGCCCTCCCAATAGAAGGGGCTGCTATTTAGGAAGAGCACCAGGTTTGAGGTGATGCCATAGAAAGCCATTCTCTCTAAAGACTCTGCCAGCAGTATGGCAGCACATGCCAGTCTCCTGCCATTGAACACTGACTCTGATCTGGCTGAAGCCACAGAGTTGTCCAAAAGAGGAGTGCTCTCGTTTACATCTCTGCCAGCCATGGCCTGATATGACTGTTTCTCAAGAGGTGGTCAGCTGACCAAAATCCAAACCTAAAGGACACAAACAACAACAAAACGATAACCATTATTTTAACAGCACGTGATACAAAAAAAAAAAAAAAACAGCCACATGACGCAATAATGGAGATTCGGGAAATAAATCACAACAGGGTCCTTATAGAATACTAGCTCATTCTTGCACTTATTGACTTAATTGAATAGTTCAACCCAACATAAAACAACAATAAAAAGCCGCTGACATGTTGTCAACCACTTCTATATTTAACTCAGTAAACAGGCTAACATCATATTTGCGTAAACATACCGTTCTTGTACACTTAGCACTGCTCCACATTTAGCTGTTCAGCCCTCGACGTGTTTACCAATGTCCTCGAAATACATTTTAATACAAATATAATGTTAAAATTCCTAAAAGTCTGTCGATATGAAGTTTAGCTATCGGCTCTGAGAGTAAACAGCCAGTCACAATACTACCGCGTGACACCCGGTACTCATAAACGTCAAAGTGACGCGCCCACAGTGCAAATATCAGATCTTCATATCATCTGGATGTGCTTATCGTGTGTCCTGTGAGGAGTATCAGGTTGATCGTTTTGTATACAACGCATGGAGACAAGCGTCAATCAACTAGCAAGACAACCAACGGCCATTGCTGATTGGATAAAGGTGAAATAAAGCTTTTTTTCTATTGGCTAGTATTGCAGCCAATCATCTTCCTGGCTGGTGCCTTGCCTGTCATCCACATTTTACATACAGTTTGTTTATGGTTATTCACAGCCTTGTGTGTGTGTGTGTGTTTTTGTTGAAATAGTTTGTGCATACACCACTGAGAAAAAAAATCATATTGTCCCCATTAGTATGATTTTTTCTTAAAAACTCTGCTTATTATTCTGGAATGTTTTATAACTTATTCATACTTTTATACATATTTGTACACTATATACATAATTGTATTTACTCCTAAGTCATGGCAATGTGAACATTTAAATTAGATGAATTATTTATTTATTTATTAACTATTTATTATAAATGTTTTGTTTATTGATTTCAACACCCTTTTGTGATGTGTGGGTTTTTGTTAAAATGTTATAGAATTAATTTGTGCATACACCTCTTAGAAAAAAAACAAATAATGTTGTATATAATTGTTGGGCATCAATATTTATTATGAATCTACACCCTCCCATTATTAGTACAGTAGTTTCTTACGTAGTCTGTTAACTGTAATACATCTAAAAAATAATAATATGCATCTGAAAAATTTATGTAGCTCTGCGGTTTCTTAGTAAATGTTTCCTTTATTAGTCATTAAGGTTATGATGTCCTTGTTCATTTTGTATTATTCTCATGAATAGTGAACTGCTGAACTCATAAATTAACTTGATCAAAAGTAAAAAAAAAAGTGTTTGAGTGCCAATCATGAAGACTGACAGATCACACGGACACCATCCCTCAGAACAGAACTAGAACTGCTCGGCTTCATGTAGCCTAGCTGACAGACTTTTAAGCATCAAGAGGTGAATAAAACTTTCCCAACTTTAGCCTTCTTTCCTCATTCAGGCCCATTAAAATGTATGAAATTCATGAACTCAATTTCAAACAGTCTGTACTATAAGGAAGTGCCAGTGGCAATTTGCTGTGGCATGATAACACTAGGCCTATATGAAAGTCAGCATGTCCCTCAGTCACAGCTCTTCTCTCTCATGAGAACTGACTATAAAACCTACCAGGTATGTGTTTGTTGTTGATTACTAAGCAAACTCTCTTTCTCTCTCTTTCTCTCTCTTTCTCTCTCTTTCTCTCTCTCTCTCTCTCTCTCTCTCTCTCTCTCTCTCTCTCTCTCTCTCTCTCTCTCTCTCTCTCTCTCTCTCTCTCTCTCTCTCTCTCTCTCTCTCTCTCTCTCTCTCTGCGCATGCGTGAGCGTCTGTTGAGCGAGTGTGAGGTGCGTGTGGTGAGTGCGAGTGGTTTATGCCCGCTGTGGCTTTCTTCTTTCAAATCTTTTTCTTTCAATCTCTTTGAGTTTTTTTTTTGTATTTGTGGTGTATCGGGTGGTGGAATAAGGCTCCCGCGAGAGGTTTCTCGGGCGTCAGCAACCAGTGTATGTGTGTCACTGGGAAGCATGGCAGCCCAAAACACAAACACCTGTTTAGACTCTCTCACGCGGCGTCACGGAGTGAAAGTGGTGTCCGCGGTGAATGTGGAGGAGTGCATTCTTGCAGTTGGAAATGTTGTTGGCCATGAGTGTATTTTAGCGGCATCTAGGATGAACAATGCAATGGTTTTGTTTTTAAATTCTGTTGAGAGAGCGAATGAAGTAGTGGAAAAAGGTGTAGTGATCAGTGGTTTGTTTACCCCAGTGCTTCCCCTTTCTACACCCGCGAAAAAAGTCACTCTGTCTAACGTACCACCGTTCATAAAAGATGAGATGCTAATAAAAGAGCTGTCACGGTTTGGAAAGATAGTCAGTCCCGTGAAAAAGATCGTTCTGGGTAGCAAATCAGACTTGATTAAACATGTGGTGTCTTTCAGGCGATTTACTTATATGATCCTGAAGGATAATCGAACTGACCTCAACCTGAATTTGAAACTCAGAGTTGACGACTTTGATTACACTGTCTTTGTAAGCACTGATGTGATGAAGTGCTTTGGCTGTGGAAAAACTGGGCATTTAGTGCGTGCTTGTCCGGACAGTAATGGTACAAATACACAAGGTGTCTCAGGTGAAGCTGGTGTGCAGGTCAGGAATACAGCGGATAATGTTCCTGATTTAACCCAAACTGATCCCAGACCATCCACTAGTGGTCTAACTGAGACAATACCTCATGAGAATCAGGCCATAGCTGCGAATAACGAGGAGAATGCTTTAGTTGATGTAGTTGATAGAGGTGAGCCCAAGGCTGATGAGAGCATGGATATTTCGCATGTTACTGTAGTGTCTGAATCAAAGTCTCATTCAGAGAGTGTCAACGTAAGTGAAAATTTAATGATGGATCTAGATCAGGCAGTTTTTAAAACACCGTTAAAGAGGAAAAAGAATGACAAGGTTTCTGAATCAAAACAAGCTAAAAAAACAGAAAATGAAAGGGAGTCTGATGATGATGTTGGTAATGAGAGTGATCTCTCTGATTCTGGTGCTTCTAGTTGTTCCCAGAATGAGTGGACGTGTCGAGATTATGATACTGAAGAAATCAAGAAGTTCTTAAAAATGTCAAAAAACTCGAGGGGGGTACAGGTTGCTGATTATTTTCCAGACATAAAGCGTTTTGTGGAAAATACGAGGGCTTTCATGGCTGAGGGATGTTTCACAAATAAAGAAGTCTATAGGTTGAAAAAATTTGTGACAAAACTCCAACAACAATTGAGTAATTAATGGCAGTAAATTGGATTAATTTTTTGGCCCTTCTTGGCTTTTTTTTTCTCTATGGCCTAAGTTTATTTTTTTATAACTTTCACATGGGTGACTTTCGCGTTGCATCCTTAAATGTAAATGGAGCAAGAGAATGCATAAAACGTATACAAATACATAATACTATGAGTCAGAAACAACTTGATGTTTTATTTTTGCAAGAAACACATAGCGATACAACAAATGCTGATGAATGGGCGAAAGAATTTAAAGGTCTTTCGTTTTTTAGTCACAAATCCTCACTTAGTGGTGGTGTGGCTATTTTATTTGCCAATAGTTTTACTCCCTCTAATATTGAGACGGAAGAGGTTGTGAACGGTAGATTGCTAAAGATTCGAGCCCAGGTTGAGAACCACATTTTTGTTTTTATATGTGCATATGCTCCAACTCTACCAGCAGAAAGAATGGTGTTTTTACATACTCTTTGTGAAACATTGGATAAATGTAATAGCGAGGAGCATTTATTTTTAGGTGGAGACTTCAACTGTGTAGAAAGTAACATGGATAGAAATCATGTAGAGCCACATTTGCTTTCTCGTAAGCGACTCATCCAGTTGATCGAAACAAACGATTTATGTGACGTCTGGAGGAGTTTAAATGGGAATTTAAAGCAGTACACATGGGCACATGCCCGTGATAATAGGTTGTCATTGGCAAGACTAGATAGATTCTATGTTTTTAAACATCATCTTAGTACTTTTAAAAATTGTTTCATAATCCCAGTTGGGTTTTCAGATCATAGTCTTGTTATATGTACAGTAACTTTACACTCTGTCAAGCCGAGAAGTGCTTACTGGCACTTTAACACAAATTTATTAAGTGATGCACATTTTAGAGAAACTTTTATATTTTTTTGGGAAAACTTTAAGAAGGAAAAAACTGATTTTCAGTCTTTAGAAAAATGGTGGGAGTTTGGTAAAGTACAAATCAAACAACTATGTCAACAGTACACTCACAATGTCACGAAAGATATAATTAAATCCATAAAAGTTTTAGAAGATGAAATTCTGAAATTCGAAGAAGTGGCAGAGTCAAGTGGAGATCAAACACACATCGAATCCCTTTTTTTAAAGAAATCTGTTTTGTCCGACATACAAAAAGTGAAGGCACAGGGGGCGCTTGTTCGGTCACGTTTTAAAGATATAGACCAGATGGATGTACCGTCCAAATTTTTCTTTAGTCTAGAAAAAAAGAATGGTCAGAAACGTTTTATACATTCTTTATTTTCTGAGACCGGTTCTCTTGAATCAGACCCTAGAGAAATTCGGAAAAGAGCAAACAGTTTTTATGAAAAGCTTTATAGTTGTGAACACAGGGAAGATCGGGTTATTGAACAGTGTTTTTATGAAGAGCTACCAAAGGTCTCTGAAGAGTCCAATGCAGAGCTCAAGAGAGCTATAAGCCTGGGAGAACTGCACGAAGCGCTCCAGAGCATGGAGAACGGCAAGGCTCCTGGGATAGACGGAATCCCAGTGGAGTTCTATAAAGCCTTTTGGCCTGTGGTAGGGGAGGATCTGCTGGCGGTTCTCAGTGGCAGTCTAGTCGGAGGACTTCTGCCGCTGAGCTGCAGAAGAGCGGTCCTTACTCTTCTGCCAAAAAAAGGTGATGTGAGAGACATAAAGAACTGGCGGCCTGTATCTTTATTGTGTTATGACTATAAATTGCTCTCAAAAGTTTTAGCTACTAGACTAGGAAGAGTTTTGGAGGAGGTAATCCACTCTGGTCAGTCCTACTGTGTACCTGGAAGATCAATTTTTGATAATATCCATTTAATAAGAGATTTATTTGATGTTTCAAAAATAGTGGGTGTAGATATGGGTTTGATTTCCTTAGATCAGGAAAAAGCGTTCGATCGTGTAGAACACGATTATCTGTGGAAAACTTTGCAAGCATTTGGTTTTAGTTCTGATTTTATAGGTTATATTAAAATTCTGTACAATGACATTGAGAGTCTACTGAAAGTTAACGGTGGCTTATGCGCTCCTTTTAGAGTGTGTCGTGGGGTAAGACAGGGGTGTTCTCTGTCAGGAATACTCTACACGTTGGCAATAGAACCACTTTTAAATAAATTGAGAAGGGTTTTAGAAGGGGTATCTTTACAAGCCTGTAACAGCACTTTATGCTTATCAGCATACGCTGATGATGTTGTCATTATACTTAACAAACAAAATGATGTGGATTTATTATTAAAAACATTGAGAGATTTTGGAACCATTTCTTCAGCAAGAGTTAATTGGGGTAAAAGCGAAGCAGTGTTAATAGGAAAATGGGAAAGAGGGGGACCAACACTCCCAAATGGGTTAAGTTGGAAAAAAGATGGCTTGAGATATTTAGGAGTGTTTTTAGGAGATGAAACGATTGTTCAAAAAAACTGGGAGGGAATAATTGAAAAAATTAAAGGTCGTCTGATGAAATGGAAATGGATTGTAAAAAGTTTATCATACAGAGGACGTACTCTGATTATTAATAATTTGGTGGCCTCTTCCTTATGGCATCGACTGGCTTGTGTTGATCCACCTGCATGTATACTTGGGAAAATTCAGTCTCTTTTGGTAGATTTTTTTTGGGAAAGAATGCATTGGATACCTCATAATGTTTTATATTTACCAAAAGAAGAAGGAGGACAAGGACTTGTACACTTGCAGAGTAGGACTGCAGCTTTTCGGCTACAATTTGTACAGAGATTTCTCACTGGTCCAGAGGACTTATGCTGGAGGCCGGTGGCCAGTACGATTTTAAAGACTGCTGAAGGACTGTGTTTGGACAAGTCGTTGTTCTTGTTAAATTCCGGGAAAATCAACACATCCAGAATGCCGGAGTTCTACAAGAATCTTTTTAAAGTGTGGGACATTTTTCATGTTAAAAGAATTGAGTCTACATCCTCCTTGTTTTGGCTGTTGAAAGAACCTCTGATTTATGGGTCACGTTTGGACATTTTAGGGGCATGTGGGTCAATGTCTGCAAATTTTATTAAATCTAAGATCACAACACTTGGGTGTTTAATCAATGTGGCCGGCTCAAGTTTTGATAAAGTTGAAGATTTAGCTGTTTTGTTGGGAGTTAAGTCCATGCGAATTGTTGCACAAGTATTACATAAACTGCAATCTGCTTTTACAACGGAAGAAACAAAAATGCTTCAAGGTTACTGTAAAGGGGAGTTTATCCCTGATGAGAGGGACACATTTCCAAATCTGCTTCTTTCACCAAAGTTAGGTGAATGTACAGGAGTGTTTTTGGAATCTGAAAAATTGACAGATATGGATTTGCATGAAAGTAATGGGAAAAAGTTGTATAAAGCTTGTGTGAAATCTTTTAACAAAAAGGGACTACATGGAAGAGTTGACACGCCATGGCGTGCTGTGTTTCAGATGAATGACAGTGTCAGGCCAGAGTGGAGAGCGCTGTACAAGCCACCGTTAGCTAAAAGAGATGGAGATCTACAATGGAGGATTTTGCATGGCATTATTGCTGTGAATGCTTTTATTTCTGTTTTAAATCCAGATGTTGGCAAAGAATGTCCTTTTTGTTTTCAGAGAGAGACTGTTTTTCACACATTTTTGTATTGTTCAAGGCTTAAGCCTTTATTTGATGGTTTGCAGAATCTTTTTAATTGTTTTAATGAGAAGTTTTCTGTGCAGACTTTTATTTTGGGCTTTAAATATGTTCAAAAGCGAAAGTACGAGTGTCATTTGTTGAATTTTATTTTGGGTAAAGCCAAAATGGCCATCTATATTAGTAGAAGAGATAAAATTGAAAAACAAAGTGATTATAATGTTGAAAGGGTGTTCGCAGCTATGATCAAATCAAGGCTTGTAATTGATTTTCGTTTTTACAAAGCTATGGATTCCCTAAATGTGTTTGAAGGAATATGGTGTCACAGAAGAGCGTTGTGTTCTGTCATTGATAATGAACTGCATTTTGCACTTTTTTTATAAAAAAAAAAAAAAAAAAAAAAAAATTTGGTAATAACTTACATGTTGTTTTATGTGAGGAATCTTTTTGATAAATAAAGATGATTGAAAAATCAAAAAAATCTCTCTCTCTCTCTCTCTCTCTCTCTCTCTATATATATATATATATATATATAGGCTATATATATTCTCTCTCTTTTTAATTGAGAGAATTTAAAATATTAGAATGATTTCTTAAGATCATGTGTGCAACGTTCTAGGTCCGACTAAGATGATCAAGATCTCCAATCCACAGGAAAGAATGCACAATAACAGAGTGTAACATACAACAATACCAGACAAAGAAACAGAAGGAAATGAGGAACTTAAATACACAATGATCAATGAATAACTCAAAGACTAACATGTGTGATTGTTAAATGAGTGTCCATGGCCCATGGACACACCATGGCAACTAATGACTGGCGGGCCGGTAACAAAAGAACACAGGAAACAAGTAACTGAAAGTGCAATATGAAAACGAAACCAAAACAAAGGCAAAACGTGACAGACCTCCCCTTTCCAGAAGGCGACTCCTGGCGCAGTAAATGATAAATGTTCATATAGAGTTCAGGAGAGTGGAGGAGCAGAGGATCTCCATGGTGGAGCAGAAGACCACCACAGGACTGACGACCCCTATGGAGGACCAGAAGTCCACCACAGAACAGACGAGACTGAAGATCCCCACGATAGAACTGAGGTGGGAGGAGCCAGGGCAGAGTTAGCGGTCCGACAGCTAACGGTGGAGCCCGGAGATCTGGAGACCCAGGTGTAGCCGAGGAGATGGTGAGACCAGACGACACTGTAGCTTCAAGAGGCCAGGGCGGAACTGCGGTGACAAGCAGCTGAGGTGGACTGGTCGGAGCCGCAGCTGATGTCCCGGAAGTCTGTTGCGCAGGCAGAGTGATGTCTGACCAAGGTGGGTCCGGAAGGATGAGTGAGCCTGGTGGAGCTGCGAGGGCGACAGTCCTTAGTGGAGCTGAGGGGGGTGAGGAGCCAAGGAGGAGCTGACTGGTCGATGGGCCGAGGTGGAGTTAAGGGCTCGGCGTCCAGAGTTGAAGCCAGGGAATCCACTCGGCAAGGCAGCGCTGGTGACCGGAAAATCTGCAGCGGAAGGAGACGAGGGACTGGGGGGAGCCAGCGGAGGTGGGACCAAAGGGACTGACTTTGGCAGAGGAAGTGGGAGAGGGAGGCTGGGTGGGCACAACATCAAGAGCGATGTAGCTCGGACTGCCTGGGATCAGCGGAGGCAGATCCTCTACTTCTAGCTCCACTAAAATTCCCACTTGTTCGGAAGTTACAACCGGCTCACATACCTGGTCAGACTGTATGACGGGCTTCCATTCCAGGATCGACGGGGCTGCAGGCTCTGGTTCCGTAGCGGGCATTGGCTCTGGCTCTTTGTCCGTGGCGGGTATCAGCACCAGGACCCGGTCTGCGGTGGGCTCGGGATCTGTCTCCGCGGTGGGCTTTGTGTCTGCAGTGGCCGTGAGTGATGTCATTAGCTGGAATATTTATTAAACAGAGAGAGCAAGAACACTACACATTTACCAAACGTTAAAGGAAGACGATGAACTTAGGAAAACTAAGGGGTTAAACACACAGAAGCTTCATTAACGAAACAGGGAACGGGTGACTAATCCCATGACTAATAATTAATAATTAACTAGAACACAGGCAAAAACAGTGACAAAAATACAACAGAACAAGACAATGAAACTAAACATGACGTGACTGTGACAATTACTGTTTTTACTGTATTTTTGATCAAATAAATGCAGCCTTTTTGAGCATGAGACTTCTTTCAATAAAAGATAAAAAAAAAATGCATATAATTATTTGATATTCTCAATTGTATCAGTTATATAATACAATGTTCCTAAATAATTTGTCAATTTTATACTATATTTCAGGGAAAGGAAGTTTTTACAAAAAAAAATCACACAGAAGGTGATTATGTAATTTAATAAATAACATAATATTATCATGGCACTATTGACATACAGAATTTTAGGCTATAATTGTATCGATAACATTTAGCAGGCTTGTTCCACAATCCAGATGTAATACACTCGAAATTATTATAGCCTACATATTAATATATTTTTATATATTTGGTGCCACGTTTCATTTTTTAACGTTGCGCCCACTATAGTTCCGTGTTTCCGGGGGGTCTTTATTTGAAACGGACCCGTTCTAAAATAAACAATAATAAACTCCACGCGCGTGGCACGTCGGATAGGTAGGATGGTCTCTGACGTGACAGCATGAGATTAGCAGAGTCAGGTCAAAAGGCTCTGGAGTAAACCATTGTCCGTCTGCTGGCAGGCGCTCTTGTTTTTTTTATTAGCGTCAGCATTTTATCGCCACACGCTGAAATGCGCCTGCTCTTCCTAGCCTGCTTAAGTCCTAAAACAGGAAACTGTACCACTGCCGAAAGAATAAGGTACAGTAACATGTTTGGTTAGCGAAACCAGGAAGTATAACAATCCTCCATCGATCATCACCTCTCACAGCACAGCTTATTCGAGTAGTAACTTAGCTATTAATTTAATCCTGTAAGGCGATCATTTTTCAAGTGACGCGATTTTTCAACCTGTAATGCGATATACATCGCAATGTCACGTATTGCACTGCATAATGCACACAACGTTACACCATTGTGAAGCTATAATCTGTTGGCGCTGTTGTACAAATAAGTAACATGTTTTTGGGTGAATGTACTGTACAATGGTAATGTCATGGTATTATTTGAAATACCAGGCAAATTCCGTGTATAGGCTATCAAAGTACCATAACCATCACTGTACCATGATACCAAGAACAGCTCAGAGCCACTTAATTACAGAGAATGAGATGCTGATATATAGTGTGATATATATATATATATATATATATATATATATATATATATATATATATATATATATATATAGTGTTTCAGTGTGTGTGTGTGTGTGTGTGTGTGTGTGTTTGGGTTGCAGGAATCACATCGTGGCTGCAGGACACATTTGTGTGCTGTGTGATACAAGAGAGTTTAGTTCTGCCTCTGATGTATCATCCCTGATGACGCAAGAGCCGCGGGTCGAGGCTGCGCTGGCCATTCATCTTTTCAAAGGAGGCAGGCTTCTTTTAGGTGGCAAGTCCCTCTGCCTCTTAAAATATACACACACATGTTGGTTTCTCTATATTAGTGAGAACAGCTCATATAGATGCAATTGATTTTATCCAGAGTTTGTGTACCATATAGTCTAAGCTGCCCGTTAGCCTACTGTACACACATCTATCTTGTCTCATTAGTGTTACTATCCACATCTATCACACAATTTATGACTTTACTAGTGATATAAACATTGGAAATTCCCACTTACACATGAAACATTACGTTTTAGAGTAGTTTTTTGTTTAGGGAAACATTTTTTTATGAGATTAACTAATATTATATATTTCATTGCTCATGCCAATTTCTGCCACTATATATATATATATATATATATATATATATATATATATATATAATTAATATCAGCCATTAGTTTTCAGCTATAAGTGTAACATGGTATTACCATCTGTCTGATACCATCATCACAGTCACAGTGTTTTTTTAAGGGCAGTATGATGGCACTCATATTATCTGCTTCCATGATCAATGTATGGGATTCATTTAAAAAAACTGTAAAATGTTGACTGATATTATTGTGCATCCTTACAGAATGCCTTGTTCAGATTGAAGGCTACTTCTCCCTCACCTCTCTAAGATATGGCCAGTTTTTTTTTAGTCTTTGCCCAAAGTGTCCACTCTGTGGATGACGACTTTCCCCTCTACTTTCATGCCTCAAGGACTTTGCTCACTCTAAGGATTTAAAAGTTGAACTTCAGAGGAGGTGAATAAGTAAAATAAGGGATTTACGTCTTTGTTGTGAATTTCCATTTCTCTGCAGATGCTGGAGTGCCGTTTGGAGTGGTCTTCGGAGGGACGGATGTCAACGAGGACGTAAAGGATGAGCACAAACGAGCTGTGATGGAGGAAGTTTTGCGCAAGGCCAGGTCAAATTTACCCAGTCTCTTATGAAAGCTGCCGCTTATCCTGCTTCCCTGCTCTAGTCAGCTATAGTTAATGGAATTCTGTCCTCATTTATGACCCATTCTAAACCTGTACGACTGTGGAACTCAAAGAAGAGATTTTAAAGAATGTTCTGGCTGTTATTTTCCATGGAATTAAAAAAAAACGATATCTGTTTGTTTCTCACATAAGAATTCATATGGCTTCAGGAGACTATAATGCACTAGTCATATGGCCCAATTATAGTATGATACTTTAATTGTGCTTTTGCATATTTTTTTTAAGACTTGAAATCTCCAGTACATTCTTCAAAAAACATTTTTTATCAACAACTTAAAGAAGGTCGTACAGGTTTGTAAGCAGATTTATGATTTGTAATTGTAGGTAAACTGTATAAAAAGAGGATTATATAAGAGTTGTAGTGTATTGTTAATCTCTGCATCTGAGATTAGTCTTTAATACGGCTGTCACTTTTGTGAAAAAATCCTGTTTGATTTCTGTGACATAAGTGTTCATTGAATCGAATGTCGGATGCCCTGAGGATGGTCTTTTGACCGAAAGCTTGGATTAAATGTGCTTAAAGGATTTAAGTGTGCGGCGGACAGTTTATTTTTTTGAGATATTTAGTCTTGTGTGTCTGGCACCTTGATGATCGTGAGTGCGGTGTAACTTCTTATCGAATCGAATGTAAAATCGATTTTCCATGTCTAAAGACGTTTCCATTTTCAACGCCAAATATAGGCCAATCCACAGACAACTAACAGGCATTAGGACAAACGTAAAGAGGGCGCTTGAGACGCACAAGTCAGCAATATTTGGGGGTCCGAAAACCAGTCAGTATCTGGTTTGACCACCATTTGCCTCACGCAGTGCAACACATCTCCTTCGCATAGAGTTGATCAGGTTGTTGATTGTGGCCTGTGGAATGTTGGTCCACTCCTCTTCAATGGCTGTGCGAAGTTGCTGTATATTGGCAGGAACTGGAACACGCTTTCGTATATGCCGATCCAGAGCATCCCAAACATGCTCAATGGGTGACATGTCCGGTGAGTATGCTGGCCATGCAAGAACTGGGATGTTTTCAGCTTCCAGGAATTGTGTACAGATCCTTGCAACTTGGGGCCGTGCATTATCTATGAAGATATTTTTGGTGCAAAACAACTGAACGCCTGTGACAGTGAAATTTGTAGTTGTAGAGAATAGCCACACATCTGTATCAGTAAATTTGAAGTCACAGAGAGAAATGATTTAAGATTTGATGCCTCATAGTGCGAGAATAACGCGTTGCCTGACACTCTCGCTGCATGGAAATAAATTGTTTTCTTATTATGACTATAATGTCATGCCTTTATTCTAATGTATGATTGATGTTTTGGCGACTGTTATCAAATGGCCGTGATCCGACTGGCAGCTTACAGACGCTTGTGTATGTACGAGTTTCTTAATTTGTGATTTGTAGAATAGGATTTGTGCTCCTGCAATGAAGAATTTGAGATGGTGTAACTGTTGTATTGTGTTTGTGGAAGATTAAAAAAAAGTCTACAAGTTTGCAACTCTTAAAACATTTCTCTCTGTGACTTCAAATTTACTGATACACATGTGTGGCTATTCTCTACAACTACAAATTCCACTGTCACAGGCGTTCAGTTGTTTTGCACCAAAAATATCTTCATAATTAATTATCATGCTGCAACATGAGGTGATGGTCGTGGATGAATGGCACAACAATGGGCCTCAGGATCTCGTCACGGTATCTCTGTGCATTCAAAATGCCATCAATAAAAGGCACCTGTGTTTGTTGTCCATAACATACGCCTGCCCATACCATAACCCCACCGCCACCATGGGCCACTCGTTGACATCAGCAAACCTCTCACCCACACAACGCCATACACGCTGTCTGCCATCTGCCCTGTACAGTGAAAACTGGGATTCATCCTTGAAGAGAACACCTCTTCAAAGTGCCAGATGCCATCGAATGTGAGCATTTACCCACTCAAGTCGGTTACGACGACGAACTGCAGTCAGGTCGAGACCCCGATGAGGATGACGAGCATGCAGATGAGCTTCCCTGAGACGGTTTCTGATAGTTTGTGCAGAAATTCTTTGGTTATGCAAACCGATTGTTGCAGCAGCTGTCCGGGTGGCTGGTCAAGATGCTGGATGTGGAGGTCCTGGGCCAGTGTGGTTACACGTGGTCTGCGGCTGTGAGGCCGGTTGGATGTACTGCCAAATTCTCTGAAACGCCTTTGGAGACGGTTTATGGTAGAGAAATTAACATTCAATTCACGGGCAACAGCTCTGGTGGACATTCCTGCAGTCAGCTTACCAATTTTACGCTCCCTCAGAACGACATCTGTGGCATTGTGCTGTGTCTGTGAAAAAACTGCACATTTTAGAGTAGCCTTTTATTGTGGCCAGCTTAAGGCACACCTGTGCAATAATCATGCTGTCTAATCAGCATCTTGATTTGCCACACCTGTGAGGTGGATGGATTATCTCGGCAAAGGAGAAGTGCTCACTAACACCGATTTAGACCGATTTGTGAACAATATTTGAGAGAAATAGGCCTTTTGTGTACATAGAAAAAGATCTGAAAAATGGGGGCAAAAACAAAAGTGTTGCGTTTATAATTTTTTTCAGTGTATATGGGCCTAAAACTAACTTTTTTACCACACCTGCCAATGGCCGGTGACTTAAAGGTGCTGCCTGTAAGAATGACAGCTAGTGGTCGAAATAGGTACTGCAGTCCAAATTCAAAATATCAGAGATCGTTGTTTCCCCTGTCACCTCCTCCTCAGTCTCGACGCTCACGCGGGTTGCCAGTTTGAGAACACGCAACAGGAACGAGCGCAGTTGACAATGAAAGCCGAGGAGAGTTACAGACTGTAAATCAATGAGTTGATTTATCCACGTTTCAATAGGCTCTCAAATATATTTTTTAGATTAGATTTTTAGATGGATATCGAGACTTTTTAGGTTGTGTGGAATCTGCCATCCAGTTTGTTTGCTCGTTTCCAAGGTTGTGATACGCTGTGTTTCCTTCCAAGTGGCATCCTGAGGTGTCGAAATACTATTGGGTGAACTGGCAGTGGGCGAGATCACAGACCAAAACAAAAACTGACTGACTACTGACAACATGGAACGTGTAAAATAATAAGTAAAATATCTGGCTGTAGAAGTGTTTTTCAGAGAAACAAGTATGTTAACTTAGCATTTTTCCTAAATATCTGCAAACATATTATGGTATTTTTATGCTTTAGTAGAGTATAAAAGTTACTTACAGCACCTTTTAAGAAAATGTACCTGCCATAAATTAGTACCTGTTGCAAATTAGTATTTAGTCTCAAACAATTATTTTTGTCAAAAAGTACACTGCTGTTCAAAAGTTTGGGGTCTGTAAGATTTAAACAATATATATTTTTGAAATAAGTTTCTTATGCTCATCAAGGGTGAATTTGATCATTTGAAAATTCAGCATCAATACTCCTGTCTTCAGTAGGGGTGTAACGATACCCTCATGTCATGATTCGATACATATCACGATACTGAACTCACGATACGATATTATTGCGATACTCCAAGACATATGATAAAAGGTTAACAAAAAATTTACTGTTGATTAAAATGTTAACTTTGATATTAAATTGTGGGTTTAAATGAATAGGTTTGGACTTGGTGCTTGTAACCCAAGGACAATGGTGACACCAGAATAACAATATTCATCTGAAGCTGAAAATACAGAATTATTTTAGACGAATATACTTGCACTCTGTCACTGACTAGATATATTTAAAATAATGTTGGCCACTTTTTACTGGTAACATAAGATATTTGGCATTATCAGGACCCACACATATTCCCCCATTGCATTATTATACATTATAATCAACATTATGTATAGTAGTTTAATGTAGTACTGACACTAAAACTCTGAAAAAATTTCATTTTTTTCTCACACATTTTGGGGAACTATCCACAATACATATTGTCACTATCCACGATACGTATTGTTGCATTTTTGTATTGCGATATATTGTGGCACGATATATTGTTACACCCCTAGTCTTCAGTGTCACATGATCCTTCAGAAATCATTCTAATATGTTTATTTGGTGCTCAGAAACATTTCTTATTATTATCTATGTAAAAAAAGTGGTACTGCTTCATGTTTTTTTTAAAACATAATATTTTTTCCCACCCAGGATTCGTTGATAAATAGAAAGTTTGAAAGAACAGCATTTATATTTGAAATGGAAATCTTATGTAACATTATACAGTTTATTGTCTTTAAGTCAAGTCAAGTCACCTTCATTAATATAACGCTTTTAACAATATAGATTGTTTCAAAGCAGCTTTACAGTAATAATAGGAAATTAAAGTCACAGATTGAAAGCCAAATTGTTTTGGCTTTACAGCAGCTCTAGAATAAAGTTATTGTCCAGCTAAAGTTAGTTTTGATTGATTCACTTCCGTTGCAAAGATCATTACTTATTAACGCTTACACGACACCTTTCTAATAGAAAACCCTTAATGCGCTCTGGCCTGTTCATTTGCACAACAACAGTGCCTGGTGGCTCGAGAACGCAAACCTTGAAATAGGTTCCAAGTGTTGAAATTTTTTGAAAAGCGTCATCATTATAAGCGCTTATTATAAGCGTTAGCAAACTTCAAAAACGCGAATCCGTGAAAACACAGACGGCGTGCACATGCGTACTACGCATCTAGTCTATAGGTATGCGGGTTTGAATGTGTGCTATGATTCTATGTGCGCAGGCCTGTAGTCTTTCTATACAAATTGACCTCACCAAATTACTTGTCTGGCCTTAAAAATTCAAAATACAGATTTTTTTTGTCGCTTCTGCGTATCCATGTGAACTGTAATCATTTTGCAACGTTTTATCTGTACAGAGGTAAAGGGAAGGGAAAGAGGTCTGCACAGGGGAGAGACTAGTTGACGCTTCAGGACTGCGTTGTAATTTTTATTTTATTATTTTTTTTAAACCTATGACATTGAACTTTTGAATGGCAGTATATAGTCTCTCTCTTTTTATCCTCCATTGCGCCTTTGGCCAAAAAGGTTGATAGGACCAGGTATCATTATGTGGCATTTCTTCTCCTCCTCTTTTTTTATTTTTATTTTTTTAATTAATAATACATCTGTACCCAAAGCCTGCCAGCTATGGTTTCAATTCATTAGCCAGGTGTTAAAGATTCTTGTGGTCTTTTTGATTAGTACAGAGAGATTCACACCCTTTTGACAGTCTTAAGGGAATAATTGTCACTAGGGAGAATAAGAGCCTTTTCACTTCAAACACATCTCTAAGAGAAGACCCCCTGCTGCCGCCGTTACTGCCTAACCTTCACATCTCCTGAAAGAGAGAGATGAGGGACAAGAGATGATGAAGAGGAGATATAGGGAAACCCATGGGGTTTAGTTGGAGTCATTTGGAAAAATAACAACACTGTCTGCTTTTTCTTTATTCCACCCACAAGTATCAAAAGAGGGCCTTATGTCTTATGTATGTGCGTGTGTTTGCGTTTGTTTTGAGTTTGAATAAACAAGCTTTAGGATGAGGCTTGACAGCACGACAGAGGCACAGTCCAAACTTTGACTTTTTTTCTTCTTAAAAAAAAATACAGGGAGCTTCAAAAGTCCAAGACTACATTGAAAATCTGGGATATAAAATTTAATTTTAAATGGGAAATAAACAAAAGAGTTTTGAGAGATGTAAAACAAAAATGTAACACTGTCACTTTCTAGGTCACTTTTAAAATAAAACGTATTTTCTGAAATGAAGATCTTTTATCTTTTCATATTTTTTATGCTAGCAGTATTATTAATAGTTAATAGTTATGATAAAAAAGTTTTCAATTACAAAAAATCTTCCTCCTCTTCATCATCCTGACTTTAAGCGGATATACTTTTGCTGTACTTTTATTTGCGTGGCTTGACTGATTTGATTTACAGATTTTGGGCGAGCGCTGACAGCTTTGATGTCTGGGAAAGTGTGGAATTGCGGCGAAATGAAAGCGGTTGAACACAGTCGCTGGCGTGTACCTCGCCGTCACACAACCCTGTGCAGACTTTTCATGTTTCTTTACACGTTAAACATGTCAGCTCACTTGCTTCATCTCTCTCTCACATGCAGGTTTGCTGTGGCGTTCACCGATGCATTGAAAGAACAGGCTCAGGTGCTCCTGGTAAGAAATGTTGAGTTTACAGCTCCAGGTTCATAAGACTGCTGTTGTTAACATGCCAAAACCAACTCTTTGCAAGTGTCAGGAACCCTTTCCTTTCACTTAATCTAAATGAACTGCAGCGCTGAGTGCAGTGAATAACGCTTGAACACTTGCTTAAAGTTAATGTGAAATCATAATTGATAATGCACAATATGGCATGTCCTGGGGCCGGATTTACTAAACAGGGCAAATTAGCACGAGAGCGCAATTCCAAAAAAATCTACTGACAACACGAAAATGAAAGAACACAGACGCAGCCGGATCATTTCCATAATAACCAACGCAATCTACCAAGAGCAGTGCAAATTAGCATCTGGTTTAAGACATGCTTTTTTTGGGGCGGTAAAGACATTTATAATGTAACAAAAAATATATATTTCAAATTAATGCTGTTCTTTTGAACTTTTTGTTCATCAAATAAATTGAAAAAATGTTAATTTCCATAAAAATATTAAGCAATCACTTGTTTTCATCATTGATAATAAATTATTCTTGAGCAGCAAATCAGCATATTAGAATGGTTTCTGAAGGATCATGTGACACTAAAGACTGGAGTAATGATGCTGAAAATTCAGCTTTTATCACAGGAATTACAAAATTAAATTAATAAAAGGAATTAAAATTACATTTTAAAATGTATTAAAATAGAAAAGTGTTGTTTTAAATTGTAATAATATTTCACAATATTACTGGTATTGCTGTATTTTTTATCAAATAAATGCAGGCTTGGTGAGCATAAACTTGAAAACACTTACTGACCCCAAACGTTTGAACAGTAGTTTGTATTTGAAAATGTTAAATTAATCCTCAAAAAAATCCTAATTAAGTTTGCCCATTGAAAGAATATTGAGATAATGTGGAAATAAATATGCTAGTGTTCATTTCTAATGGGCTTCTAGAGGAGGGAAAAAATAGAGAGACAACTACTGCGCTAACTGATGCTATAAATACAGCGGGAGGATTTAACGGCTACAAATGCAATATCCTGCCTTGCATCCTTTAATAGCACAGCATTAAAATCACTATTTCCATCATGTTTTATCCTCAAATGAAACCCCAGACACACATTTTGAAGTCAAGGCAAACAGGATGTCTCTGTCACACACACCAGGGGTTCTCCCTCTCCCAGGACTGATAACATCCAGCCAATTTCCCCTCCGTCTGTGAGAAATTATCCACTTTATCTCAACCAGCCATTTACATATTATTCTTTTATTACCTTCCTGCTGCTGTATTGTTTTTTCCCCCCTCCACTGGTATTGATTTAGGCAAATCAGGGATTCGCCACACTGCACAGAGATTTTTCCAGCAGATATTTTCTGCTATTACATTAGCCAAGGACATGATTTGGGCATGAACTTTGAACATGGATAACTCTATTATCATAAAAAAAAGAAATTGTAATGGTTGAAATGTACTTTTATTTTCATCTACAGGGCATCCAGGGTCACCAAACCTTATAATATCAGGAAATCTTAAAATTGTGAAGAAAAAAAAATGCAAAATTAGTAATATCTTACTAAAGTAAAATTAGTATAAATTTTAGTAATTAGTAATATTTATATATGTTTTTTTTTTTTTACTAATTATTTATACTTGATAGAGATTTTATAGAGAATTATTATTTTTTGTCAATAATTATAAACCAGTGGAGAAGTCAGAAATAAACTTGTCAAAAGGTTACAGTAATAGTAATGTCCAGTAGGGGGCTAACTTATTTTCTTCACCATTTTTTTCCAGGAATGTGAGAACAAGAAGATCTGTGTGCAGCCTCAAGGTAGAGTTTATTAATACTGAATGTTTTCTTATGGCATTACATAGAAGTTGTGGGCCAAAATAAAAAAATGTTTAATGCCTATTTTTGAAATGTATTTTTAAAACGTCTGCATATGTTTCCAGGGATCGAAACCAAAATGGCATTACATTTCTGTTGGAGCGACTTCTTACACAGCACAGGTGCAACACCTTCACAATTCTCCTCTCCACTTAATAGCCTACAGTTCCTCAAGGGCAGGGGCTCAAATGTAAAAAAAAGGGCATGTATACATTATATGGCCTTTTTTTTTTTTTACACACACACACACACACACACACACACACACACACACACACACACACACACACACACACACACACACACACACACACACACACACACACACACACATATATATACATAAAAGAACTGGTCAATAGTTTGGAAACATTATTATTTTTAATGTTTTTGAAAGAAGTATCTTATGCTCATCAAGGCTGCATTTATTGATAAAAAATACAGAAAAAAAACAGTAATATTGAGAAATATTGCTACAATTTAAAATAATGGTTTTCTATTTTAATATAATTATAACCTTTGATACTTTTTGTAACTTTTTAAACTCAGAAACCTTAAAAAAGAACAGCATTTATTTAAAATAGAAATATTTTGTATCAATATCCACTACCGTTCAAAATTTTGGTGTCAGTCATTTTTTTTCTTTCTTTTTTTAAAAGAAATTAAAGCAGCACTAAGTCGGAATTCCGTTTTTGACAAACAGCGACCCCTAGAGTCGCTGTGGAGTACTTGTACTGTCGTGAATAGCACTCACGCAGAGATGGCTCACACTCACAGCCGTATCCCCTCCCCCTGTACACCGGTACCTGTTCAGTAGGATGGATGCTGTAACGAGTGGAAATAAGGTATGGCCCCTTTAAGAGCTGCGCGCGCCCAACACCACATGTATACGGCGCCGGGTTATTTCTGTTTGATGCTCATTTTATCAGAATTTGATTGCTCGCCGGCCCAAAGTTGCAAGGGTGGTTTTGCGGCTCACAGGCACCAGGGGGGTGCGAGACGACCGCCATTCAACATGAAATCAGTAATATAAACATTACAATGACTCCAAAGCTGTTCGGTTAAAGTAAAAAAGTTACTTAGTTCACCTTTAATACTATTCAGCAAGGATAAATTTGATAAAATTGATAAAACATTGATAAAAAGTGATAGTAAAGACTTAAAAAGAACAGCATTTAATTAAAATAGAAATTCATTTATATCATTTAAATACTATTTATTCATCAATGAATCCTGAAAAAAGTATCACAGGTTCCAAAAAAACATTAAGCAGCACAACTGTTTCCAGATAATAAATCATCATATTAGAATGATTTCTGAAGGATCATGTGACACTGAAGAGTGAAGACTGGAGTAATGATGCTGAAAAATCAGCTTAGCGTCACAGAAATAAATTATATTTTAAAGTAGGCCTACTGTATATTAAAATAGAAAACCAATGTTTTAAATTATAATAATTGTTTTCTGTATTTTGAATTAAATAAATGCAGGCTTGAAGCGCATAAGAGACTTCTTTAAAAAACATAAAAAATAGTAATGTGTCCAAATTTGACTGGTACTGTACTGTACTATATATATATATATATATTCCTGAATAATTATCAAAAATGTTAATATAATAAAGTCCTTTCATGTCACCATTTCGCATGTTGTTGTCAGTCACCCTACACTCATTCATTGAGTGCTTTGTAGTCAATTAACATCCATTGATTCAACGACGCAGATTCAGATCCTTCATAAATGTAAATTTGTCTGTAATTTTCAAACAATTTATGAATGACTGGAAAATTACCGCTCCACTTCACATTGTCCAATGAAATTTGAACTTGTTGTGCCAGATGACGATTGGTCGGTGTATTATACATGACAAATAGGCATCAATGAATTATGTAATATTTTAAAATATGTAGTATGTGGATTTTTTTATTGATTCGACTTCGACACACTACCTTTGATTATTGAAAAAAAAAAGTTTAAAAATGGATTGGTTTATTTTTTCCTTCCGTCGAGCCATAGGTACTGTAGAGAGCCATAGTTGTCTCGAGAGCATCGGTTCCCGAGCAGACTGTGGAATACCTACATTTACACTAGTGCATCTTCATTTTAAAACGCATAACTTTTGCTACGGTTATGCCTGTCATCCACACTAGGCTACTCCGGAGTTTAGACCCTCGAAAACGGAGACTGACCCCTTCAGTCAAGTCCGAAGCGAGACACGCAAGTGACGCAACCCTTAGCAACGAGTCATGGCAACGGCACCTCAGACTGACAGAAACGTAAAAATAAACGTGAATTTAGGCTACTTTAGTTTTGTACACATTGTCATGTAAATTATAATCAAATGCATTTTGTTTTATTGACCACAATATTATCATTGATATTTGTTTGAGAGGGGCACTTTCAATCAGTTTTTGAAAAAGGGCAGGGGCTTGAGCACCCGAATAATCCCCCCCCCCCCCCCCCCGTTTCTGCACGTGCCTGAGCCTACATCATTAATTATACGATAGACATAGATAGATCAGCATTAGATGAATTTTCAGACCCTGTTTGATTAATACCTTGACGTGTGCATTCATCATCATCCCTCTCAAACACTCCGTGATAATTTTGATAAGAAACAGACGTTGCCCCATTAAATATACATGTGATGTTCAGGCCTTAACACTCTTAAACTCAAATAGGCTCAAGAGCACTCAACCTTGATTAGAGACAACCTGAGTGCCTGCCAGGAGCGAAGAGGTTGTGCGTGTCAGTGAGTCTATACATGTATAACATGCATCATTATTTGGAGATGAGGCAACGGAGTAAAGGAAAGAAAGACAACTTTAGAAAGAAAAAAGATGTATTTGTACTTTTGATATTACTTACATCGTTTGACTGTTTTGGTGATTTTTTTTCCCCTTTTTATTTCTTTTTTTTCTTGAAAATAAAAACAAAGTTGGAAATACCTTTACAGTGATATACTATTTACAAACATCCTGATGCCGTCCACACTGCTGAGAGTGGCGTTATATTTATGTAAATTATATGAATATGTAAATATGTGCTGCACGCTTTCCTCTCAATAACAAAATTAACACAACACAAATGACAGCGGTGAGAAAAAAGCAGTTAAGAAAGCATATGATCATTGCAATTGGATATGCTTGCATCAGCTCTGCAATTCACTGGCATCATGACTACAGATGAGGTTATTAAAATTACGCTATTATATAATATACTATATACTAGTATACAGGCGTTCATAGGAAACCTAGGAAGTCTGGGAAGGTCTTGGTCTTTTTTTTTTTTAAGTTTCATTACAAGCTGTTCACACATTGGCAATAAAGTAATACATAAAAAGCTCCTTAAAGCTTTTAAACAATAATTTTCTTATGATTCAAAGCAGAAACGTGTTTTTAGTCACATTCACTTTCTTCACATTTAATGATAGAAACGTTTGTTGTTTTTTATAGAAATTGACATATGTCTTAAAGGGCTGCGTCTCTTCAGAAGACTTGGATTAAACCTTTTGATTCATATGGATTTATTTTACGATCTTTTTTATGAGCATTTTGAAGCGCCAGAGTTTCAATGGAGTCAGAAGCATAGACTTTCATTAAAAATATCTTCATTTGTGTTCCGAAGATAAACGAATGTCTTATGGATTTTGAACAACATGAGAGTGAGTAAATGATGACAGAATTTTCATTTTTGGGTGAACTAACCCTTTAAATGAGTAGTAGACTTCAGAATTAAAATTTCAAAGATGTTTTGTCTTTTCAATCGAGGAAAACATTCCAGGATCCACTTGCTCTGCGATGCGTCACACATTACGTAATCGTTGGAAAGGTCACGCGTGACATAGGTGAAAAACTCCATCTCATTTCCTCCTCCAACTTCAAAATCAGTGATAGTGATTACCTTTTTATTTAGTTTTTTGTAAAGGGCATTTGACTTGTGAGTCTTTGTACGTTCACTTTGTAAACACTAGGTTGGTACTTCCGCCTATGTCACTCGTGACCCTTCAACGTGATTACGTATGTGACGCATCGCAGAGCTAGTGCAAGACAAGCATTTGTGGTTAAGTATCCACCTTATTCCTACGCCCCATGACGCTTTGCGCGAATTATGGGTGTAACTTCCGTTAAGCTGTAAACAATCAGTGAAAGGCTCGCTCTATGAACGCAATACGTTAAAAAAGTGTCACAATGAGATGACATTAATCGACTCACCCTTCAACCATCGAACATTAAAATTAAATTTAAAAGTTTAAAAGAATCAACCAGGTACTTTCAACAGACCAAAAATAGCCCCAAAAGTGCGAGTCTTTGGTTAAATATCACTGTAGAAGGCAAATATATCTGTATTATATAACAAGCCTTAATAAAAAAATGTTCATTAACTTCAGCATTACGTGACACTGTCAAAATGACGGAAATCACTTTGATATAGATTATAAATTGCATTTACCTGTGAAAACAAACCTGGAAAGAGACGTGAGGATTTGAGGAGAATAACGAGAGATTCTTCGTTCATTCCAGTGAATTATTAATGGAATATCGTAAATTAAATTCGGGAGAACAGACCACAAATGTGCCGTTTATGTTGTCCTTTTTCATACTTTTACAGCGGATTGCAAAGGAAAAAATAAAAATCATCATGAGGAAATGAAAGCAGCGACTGAAAAGAGCTCTTGCCATATATATTCTTGTTATAACATGTCACGTTAAAATACCAAGTATAACGTTATTCTCATGATGTCTGAAAATAAATCGTGAAGGAAAATTGACAGCTCATCCAGTCAAACTGACGGATCAGCTTTATTTGTAGGGCAACCTTATGATTTGAAATGATTCGTTTTAGCCTTTTTGAATGGAAGTTCCCCAAACCGGAAGTGCCACCCATAATTCAAAACACAGTAAGGTCGTCAGGAATAAGGTGGATATAAATGGTTTTTTTTTTTTTTATGACCGATCGTTCCGCTAGATAAGACTCTTATTCCTCAGCTGGGATCGTGTAGAGCCCTTTGAAGCTGCATTGAAACTGCAATTTGGACCTTCAACCCGTTGGTCCCCATTGAAGTTCATTATATTGAGAAAAATCCTGGAACGTGTTCCTCAAAAACCTTAATTTCTTTTCG